ACGTCTGCATCTGAACCTCCATGTCTATCGACGATGCTTCCCAGATATGTGAAGGATTCTACATCTTCCAGAGTTTCGCCATCAAGGGTGATTGGATTGCTGTTCTCCGCTTTGAATTTGAGGACCTTGGTTTTCCCTTTGTGTATGCTGAGGCCTACTGATGCAGAGACTCCTGCTACATTGGCTGTCTTTATCTGAATCTGTTCACGTGTACGTGATAGGAGGGCTAGGTCATCTGCGAAGTCCAGATCGTCTAATTGGTTCTGAGCTGTCCATTGTATTCCGTGTTTTCCTTCAGATGTCGAGGTCTTCATAATCCAGTCGACCACCAGAAGAAAGAGGAAGGGAGAGAGTAAACAGCCTTGTCTGACTCCGGTCCTTACATGGAATGCATCTGTCAGCTGTAAGTAAACATATAAGTGTTGAAGTAGTTAATCAATTAAGTAAGTAAGTAATTAATCAAGTTATTAAGTAAGTAATTAAGTAAGTATGTAAGTAAGTAGGTAAGTAAGTAAGTAAGTAAGTAAGCAAGTAAATATATAAGTAAGTAAAAAAGTAAGTAAGTAAGTAAGTAATTAAGTAATTAAGTAAGTAAGTAAATAATTAAATAATTAAGTAAGTAAGTAATTAATTAATAAGTAAGTAAGTATGTAAGCAAGAATTAAGTAAGTAAGTATATAGCTATGTAATTAAGTAAGTAAGTAATGGTAGAATTAAGTAAATAAGTAAGTAAGTAAGTAAGTAAATAAGTGTTGAATTAGTTAATTAATTAAGTAAGTAATTAAGTAAGTTTTGAAGTAAGTAGGTGTAGAATTAAGTAAGTATATAAGTAAGTAAGTAAGTAAGTATGTAAGTAAGTATGTAAGTAAGTAAGTAAGTAAGTAAGTAAGTAAGTAAGTAAGTAAATAAGTAAGTAGGTAAATAAGAAAGTAAGTAAGTAAAAGAGTAAGTAAATGTAGATGTAATTAATTATGTAAGTAAGTAAGTAAGTAAGTGATAAGTAAGTAAGTGTAGAAGTAAGTAAGTATGTAAGTAAGTAAGTAAGTAAGTATGTAAGTAAGTAAGTAAGTAAGTGTTGAAGTAATTAATTAAATAAGTAAGTAAGTAAGTAAGTGATAAGTAAGTAAGTGTAGAAGTAAGTAAGTATGTAAGTAAGTAAGTAATTAAGTAAGTAAGTAAGTAATATGTAAGTAAGTGTAGAAATAAGTAAGTAAGTAAGTAAGTAGGTGTTGAAGTAAGTAATATGTATGTAAGTTTATCAGTAAGTAAGTAAGTAAGTAAGTAAGTAAGTAAGTATGTAAGTAAGTAAGTAAATAAGTAAGTAATTAATTAAGTAAGTAAGTATGTAAGTAAGTAATTAAGTAAGTAAGTAAGTAATATGTAAGTAAGTGTAGAAATAAGTAAATAAGTAAGTAAGTAAGTAAGTAAATAAGTAAGTAATTATGTAAGTAAGTAAGTAAATCAGTAAGTAATTAATTAAGTAAGTAAGTATGTAAGTAAGTAAGTAAGTATTTAAATAAGTAAGTAATAAGTAAATAAGTGTAGAAGTAAGTAAGTAAGTAAGTATGTAAGTAAGTAAGTAAGTAAGTAAGTAAGTAAGTAAGTAAATAAGTATGTAAGTAAGTAAGTAAATATGTAAGTAAATAAGTAAGTAAATAAGTAAGTAAGTAAGCAAGTATGTAATTAAGTACGTAAGTGTGTAAGTAAGTAATTAAGTAAGTAAGTAAGTAAGTAAGTAAATAAGTTAGTAATTATGTATTACTTTTTTGTTATTACCATTGAATGTCTGATCATAATTTGGTTGACAGAATTTGAAAAAGAAGTAAATAAAACCGATTTGATTACTGGTTAATGAATACTAGGTATTATTTTTATTATTATTATCATTTAGGACTGCGATTGATCAGTCTCTTGTTGTCACATGTGCATTCTATGCGGACTGTCTCGATATTGCCTTAGGTCACAAGCTTTCTATGCAAAGATGGATAGTACATATCAGTGGAATCCAGTACACGTGTTGTGTCCCATTTGGGACTCGTCAGCTAGATGTACCTGAATCTCAGAGTTGATGTCTACTCTGGGACTCGAATCTAGTATCGTTCACTTCAAACGCCAGCACGTTATTGTTACGTCCTTGCTCTGTCTACCCACTTTTAGTGCTGAGGATACTTGTCTTATCTAGATTAAAACCTTGATGCGATAGTCTGATCGGCTTAACCTTGAGGCTAGTATACGTGAGTTCGAAGTAGAGTGGAGAGAAGAAAACTATTCTATCAATTGATTAGCTGACAAGCACACGAGTGATTGAAGACAAGTCAACTGAAACACTACTCCATTTATTCTCACTTCCGATCTGGTTCCCGATTTCAGATCAGTGTAAAAAGATACATGAATAAATAGAACACCAACCAGACCACAACGCACAACAATTAGGAAAATACAATTATGTCTAAAACTGGAGATTAGTGTAGAAAATAGAGTACAAAATAATACGTTTAAGTTACAATAGCTTTGGAAAAAAAGGGCTGTGGCAGTGAATCATACATCCAACGAAAGCTTATGTTCTGTAAAATAGACTAGGAACAAAAATAAATGTTGATGTTTTACAAGCTTAGCATAAAATGGAATAAAGTACCTAAAAATAGCTTTCTTAGTTTATCAAGGATTTTTGTTTCTCTGTTGACATCAGTTATCCACTTAGCTACTAAATCATAATAGCCACCTGTTTGTGCAATGGTCTGAAGTTCTAAATTCACTTGGTGGTGTTTACTGGTATCTTCCCATAGTTATTTAGGACTGTAATTGATCAGTCTCTTGTTTAAAATATTAGTCTATCGTGAATGCTACTATGAACTACTGAAACAAAACTGTAGATTTTATATGTGTAGAATAGAAATAATTATTGATAGGCTAAAGTGAAATTAGTTCAACACATTTAAAAGAAAATTTATTCCCAAGTGAATCACACTTAAATTAATAAAACATTCAGTCAGTTTCACTATCTAGAACAATAGAAAAGACATTTGCATTGAATAATCAATAGGTAGCAAGTAATGTTATGTCTGTCTGGTCTTTAGTACGGGACAAATCCTATTAGTTACTTTGTAGCGTATTCAACAGTTTCAGTGACTCAATATCACGGGATGGGTGTTCGAATTCAACAGGTACTATCACTCCCCTTAAGATTGAAGCTATGCTCTATTGATGAGTGAAACCATGGAACATAAATACTGAATTTATTTTTGTTACTAATCGATTTTGAACCACCAGCAATGTTAGGTGGTTAATGGTATTCAACAGGAAGCCTTTTTCAACCTAGGTTTTGTGTTAGTTGGTATTCGTCAGTAAGGTATACCTTGAATCTTAAGGCACCTAGTACATACTCTTAGATGTGAACCCTAGTCAACTACTTTCACAGTCTGAGACTAAATATATTGAATCGGAAAGCTTAAAACAACAGATACTGATTCCAAATGAAGTTCATCAAAGAGTTGAAAATATTTTACAGTGGCGTAGTTAATCTTTGTCATATAAGGTGTTCGTAGCAAACGGGTCTCAGAGTACCAGGATTTCTGTTAATAGATACACAGCAGATGACAATCATTAATGTATTTTTTCTCCAGTTATCTGAAAAACTTTTAATATTATCACTGTTTTCAGATAAGTACACTAGGAACTATCAATTTTTGAAACGCAGGATTCTAAATATCATACATCAATACCTCGATAACGCATATGGGGTTCAAAGAGGGATGTACTAAATTTGAATTTCGCTGTGAATATCGACATTGGGATACAAGAATATCTAGTTACCGAGTCCCGAAATAGAAGAATTATTTGTCCTGCATTCCACTTCTAACCATTTGACAAACATACAAAAATCATTGCTTGTAGTTAAAATGACATGTACTTGACTGTCCTCATTAAATAACACTGATAGTTATCAACTTTCATGAACACTATATATTCATTCAGGCACATTTGTTTAATATCAGGTGTTTGTGGAGATTTTTAGAAATTTTCACAGATTGAAATCATGAGTCAGTTGAAGCTAGACCACCATTGAAGTTAGACATTAACACCGTTGGATGTCGGATCAGTGGTCTAATGGTTAAGTGCTCGCGCGCGAAGCCAGTAGGCCCTGGGTTCGAGCCCCGCGTGGTGCGGGATCGTGGATGTGCACTGCTGAGGAGTCCCGTACTAGGACGAAACGGCCGCCCAGTGCTTCCAGGCTTTCAAAGGTGGTCTAGCTTCAACTGACTCATGATTTCAATCTGTGAACATTTGTTTAAGTTATAAAAATAGCTTTACGGATGACAATAATAGTTTTAATTTCATTAACATACATTATCATAATTAGAGTTCTTCTATACTTCAGAGTACCAGTGTTTCATAATTAAGGAACGAATGATAATATAACATGCGATGGACGTTTCACTCAATCCCATGGTGGTCTAGCTTCAATTGACTCATGATCTCAATTATTAAAATTTACTAGAATATCCACAAAAACACCTTCTGATATTTGTCAACATATGCTCAGTAGTGTCTGGCTTCAAGAGGTATTTCATGGAATTCTAGTGAAAAGCTGTAACCAGTTGAGTTCAACCGGGTTTGTTGTGATATAGTAATTGACTGAAGTCAATGGTCGATGTGTCGCTCAATTTCGTGGATTAGTTGAAATTAGACATTAACACTGTTGGATATCGGCCAGCTCACTGGTTTAGAGGTGAAGCGTCCGGGGGCGAGACTGACAATTCCTGGGTTCGAATCGCACGAGCCGGATAGTGGATGAGCACTATTGACAAGTCCCAAAACTACAATCCAATCCTTCCAGATTTTCCATGGTAATCTATCTTTAATTGACTTATGATCTCAACTATTAAAAGCTACTAGAATATCCGCAAAAACACCCCCTTTCTGATGATATAATTGATAAATCATTAACATCTACCACATTCGGAATATAACTATTTTCAAAAATAGAAAAACTGTATTTTTCTTTTATTTCAATAATTATATTCATGTCACATATGATTACATTACATAATCCATTCATCAAACAATAGGGTTACATTTTTTGATAAGAATGATTTCAGATTACATTTGGGCTTCATCTAACACATGGGAATATTTATTGATTTCCATTAAATGAAATCAAATCAAAGAATTTCTCTTTTGTGTGTGTGTGTGTGTGGTTTTTTTCTCTCTCTTAGTAACAAATATAAAACAACCTTATTTGTTTTTTTTTACGATCAAAGAATAAATGGTTATTCTATTTAACAGGAATACATTCAATAAACAGTTATAATATACAAATCATTCAACAGGATATATATGCTAAAAGTGATAGTATTGTTGAAATGACATGAATTAGGTGAAAGATTAGAATAGAAAATAACAACAACTACAAGGGCAATCATCTTTTCACATGATTTTGTCATGTAAGATTACAAGATTCAATAGGTAATTCGATTATAATCATTAATACTGTTAGTACAATTCATGTGTAATAACAAACCTGAGAAGGTAAACGAAACAAAATTCTATAAATGATAATATAGCTCGTATTAAAAGAAAAAAAGAAAGAAAGAAAAGAGAAAAAAGAAAAAAGGGAAATAAATAAATCGATCAAACTAATAATAAACTAATACTTATCATAAGGTATAAAGATAATGAATGACTTTCAATGGATGAATATGAAAAGATAAAGAAAATAGATTGCTAATAAAACTACTGATTATTATTAGTAGTATATAAACGAAATAGATAATGTAGAAATTCAAGTTGACAAATATATATATATCTATATACATTTTATTAAAAATCTTTTTTATGATTTAATTATTTCATGATATCTGTACCAATGGGTAGATTCGTTTCACCGCCAATATCACGTAATGTTGTGCATAATTTATTTAAAATATTTATAAAACGATCTTTTCCAGTATAATCAATTTCACCACGTTCCCATGCATACATTCGTTCATTACTAACAGCTTCTAATTGTGCATGATATGAACATAATTGTTTACCATAATCAATATTAGCTAAATCACCGGCTATTCCAGTCTTATCATTTATAAAGAAAAAGTAAAACAAAAAAAAGAAAAAAGAAAGAAAACAACAAAACGCATTTAGTTATATAGTTAATAAGAGAGAAAAATGATGTATCTTTTTTTAAATACAGTTACGATTATTTGTTTTTTTGTGTGTGTGTGAAAAAGAGGGGGAGGGGGGCATAGATACTAATGAATGCAAGGAATAGGATATACTAACTACTTTCTACACTAAACACACATATATACATATAAATGTGATTAATTGACAACAGAGCAATCAATTACAAAATATGAATAGGCTAGAAAACTAATGATGAAAACCAATTTACAAGGAATTAAACCGACTGATCTAATCTAAACAAATATTTTTCAACTAAGCTTTACTACAAAAAGTTAGATTAACTGTATTTGATTGAAAAAAGATGAGCATAGACCAAAGTCAAGTCAGTACTAGGGAGTTATTTCAGTATTGTGGACAAAATATCTTAATAGTGTTCACTTAAGGGATTAGAACTAAAATATTTTGAGATCTAGTGATTAGAATGTAACCTGAGTTTGTTTAGTGATAACTCATAAATAAATAAAAAACACAGGATAGCTGATTAATTTCTATTCTTCTTTTATATTTTACTTTACGCTTATAAGTTAGTTCAACTCCGCTTGGAGCCTCTCCGGGGGCTACTGCCAGTCTCAAGGAGGAAAGTTGGGCATGGGACTAGCGACCCTATCCCGTAGAAAACTAACTCGCTAAAAGACGCTAACCAGAAAAAAAATTATTAGTTATAAATAACAATAAATTTAATTCATTTTTATATTGACTGTTTGAATCATATTATTGATGTTTAGAACTACAATTGATCAGTCTGTTCCTGGCATATAGGCATCCTGTATGAATTGCCTCAATATTATGTCAAATCACAAGCATTATAAGCAGCGATGAATGGCGGCTAATAGTGGATGATTTAACAAAAGACAGACAAATGAGAGTCAAATGATCAAAGTCGACGGATGCAGCTATATCCAGCTGACGAGTTTCAAATAGGACGAAATGCGGTTTGTCCTAGATTCCACTGCTAGCCACCATCCATCCCAACATTAAATTTAGCATAAATATCTAGAAAACAAACGGGCTGATAAGCAAATTAATAGATTCTCAAGGAATTCAAGATCATAAACAAATAAAGTACAAAGAAGTTCAAATAATCACACCGAGAGCTAGACATAGAAGACATAGCAGGAGAGTAAAGAATGAAACTGGTGGATATCAAATAGAAAATAATAACAATAAAACGTTTTCAATTAATAATTCAGCTAACGTAATGAATAAGTTTTCACCACATATATCATCTACCTTAACATGTGTTTTTTATTAAAGAGTAGAGTATTATGGTTTGAAAGCAAACCAAATTAATGAAATTTCAATGGTTGAGATCATGAGTCAGTTGAATCTAAACCACCATGGAAAACCTGGAAGCATTGAACTTAATAAAAACCAACTGAGCCAACCGACAAAATAAGACCAATCACTTAATTATTAATATAAAGATTATTTTAAAGTTAAAATTGAAAGATACTACCCGAAGGAAATACATATTATTTACATTTTATTTGTCAAGAGTGAACTACACTCTATAATGACCTTATTATTATTATTATTTTAACACATAGATATTGGTAGAAGGAGGCACCAAATACATATGCGCCACATAAATCTCACTTGATTTTTGTGAGGGCTGTGATACTGCTCAGGTGTCCAGACCGAAGCAGGTGGTTTTCTTAGGGAGTCACTCCCCGAGCCTTCGACCTGAAAGTCTGACCCAATAGGCAATGGAGCATCGTAAGGAGATGCAGTCCCATGGAAGCCAGTGACCAACAATAGGTTCATAGGCCATTTGTTCCCACAGGATCCTGGAGCTCATGTGTACGATTGGTTTCGAATCGAGGTTTTTCAACTCCCCTAGGTGGACCCTCCATGTCCACCAACCCGGTTAAAGAGCAGGACATTCGCTTTTCGTCCTCTCATTTTGGTAAACAACAATAATGCCACGAGAAAGCAGTGAGTAGGACTTCCCTGGCAGAGGCTATATACGCATGACCATGTGGGAGCATTTCGAGGGGGGAGAACGGATTCTCCCCAGTCTCAGCCGTACCAGGGCACCAGATTTCTAGTACTGATTATTTAGCTAAGCATAAAGTAACACACTTTTAATGTTGAAACATGTGTGAATAACGAACGCTTTTTGGTACATTCTCATAGATTTCTTAGTTGAGTTTTTTACTCATATATATCTGCCTTTGAAAATGATAGGGGGTTTTTAGAACTTTTTTAAATAGTATATTAGGTATACTGTTATCAGTAGAATTCAAGATATGGACTCTTCATCTAAATGTACCTACATCCTATTATTCATATCCATACAAAAATCCTAATTTAAGTATCTTTCTCATTCAAACCTCTAAGGTGTCTCTGTTAAATTATTGTAAAATTGATAAAGTATGAATTCAAAAGTTCACTCACATAAATTATTTACATCATACATAACTAACAAATAATTGACTATTACATTATAGTCTTACACTTTAGCATCAAATTAAGTATACACTCTTTTGTCAGTAACTCCGCCTGAAGCCCCTTTGGGACTACTTCCGATCTCAAACCCGGATAAAAGAGGAGGTTTGGGCATGGGGTTAGCTTTCCCATCCCCTAGAAAACTAACTCGTTAAAAAAACGCCAACCAGAAAAAAATAATTCAAACCATTTAAACCCTGCTCTAGGAGTTAGAAGGTCTTCATTTAGAAAAGTTATGACACCTCATGGTGAAAGCCAAGTTCCTTCGGAAGTCGCGAGGCTGATAACCCTTATAACAATCAAAACAATCATTAATTTCGATACATGAAATGCTCGTACAATGTGAGAGACCAAGAGAGTCTTCCAAATGGTTGCTGCTACTGTTACTTTTGTCAGTAAAATATATTTCTGCATAGTTAATAGTTCGTAAATTTATGGAACGGAAATGAATTTTTTTTATCTAATATGACAATGATCAATCTTCCTATCTAATCAACAACAACAACAACAACAAAAAGAACAAGACCGAATATCAATACAAACTGGAAAACAATTAACAATTAAGTATCATTGAATCCATAAAGAGATAATCATTTATAAAACTGGGAGTTTCGGATTAAAAAAAACAAACCATGATTGGAAGAATGATATTATAAATCATATAAAATCAATATGATTAAGAAATTAGTGTTTAAAATTTTTGTACACCAAAACATTAATCTACATAGCATGCATGTATTCGTGTAATCATGCAGCAGAAGAATAAACCAATCAACCAACCAACCAACCAGCTAAACAAACAAACAAAACTACACCATATAAGATGATTTACATAATAGTTATGTACACATATAAGATGTTTACCGCAATCATTCTATGATGATAAGAACTAGATTTGTATTGTGCTTTAGTTATATTGAATGATGGTGTTGATGATGATGATGATGTTGATATTTTGTTATTGTTGATGAATTGATTTTCATAGATTCTCCAAGGATATCCATGTTTTATTTTACGTTTTACTTTTAATTGCCATGTATTTTGATCTAATTTCATAGAATTCAATTGTAGATTATTATTATTATTATTATTATTATTATTATTATTATTATTATTATGATATATTGATGATAATCGTTTTGACTTTGATTGATTTAAATAATCGGTTGAATGAGAATTGATCATCTTTGTATTATAATCAAGTTGTATTATATTATCAGCACTATAACTTTGTTTAAATTGTGAAGACAATAGATTGTTCGTCTTTCTTTTTAAATCCACTTCATTATATAGGCATGATTTATTGTTATGACCGTGAGGTTTCCTCTTGCTAGAAGTAGTAGTAGTAGTAGTAGTGATAGTGTGATCAGCTTGTTTACAATCCAAATAAGCAATATCTAAACCACGAAATGGATTGCTTAATTTATTATTCAATTCAATTGTTTGATTGAATCTATTATCAGTGTTTCGATGTTTATAATTCGTTTCAAAATCAATATTCTTATTAAGAACCCTATGGAATTGTTCTATGCCAAGATCAACATTATTAGAAAGTGTATTACAACTTATGGAGGAACTTGGTGAATCATTCTTTATTAACTTCTTATTTACTACATCCGTTAATGATGATGTTTTAGTAAGTTTTCTACAGTCTATTTTAATTGGATGAAAAGTTTTAACTGTAGGCTTGAATGAATTTCCTAAACTGTAATATCGATGTTTTTTAAATACTTGTCGAGGTTTTATATTAGAATCGAAAGATAATTTTCTCAATTTCATAGGACATAATAATCGTTGATATTCTCTAATTAGTTTTTCATAACATTTATGACAGTTTACCGAATAGTTGGATGGTGATTTACACTTTTCAATTGATTCAGATTGTATAGAATTGATAGGAGATACATCTGCAATTGATATAGATGATGGTTTTTCCGGTATCGCTTGAATATCATCTGATTTTGATTCTTGACTTAAAGGTTCTGTCTTATGTTGAAAATCATTTTTCAGGACATCACTTCCACAGTGTTGATTATTTTGTTCTGTTGTATCATGATGTTGTATAATATTCAGTGGATTCTTTTCAAAATGATGTTCATGAAATTCTTCTTGATCATTATAATGTTTAGATTGTTGATTTATCTTATGATTTGAGTGTTTTTCATTCAACCTTTGACTTATTTCTTTCTGTTGATATTCATTCTTATTATCATGGTATTGATCTTCATGAGATGAATTTTTCATAGTATCCTCTTCTCGACAATAGTTTACACCAGATAATGAAAGATTAAATTGTGGTGGTGGTGGTGGTTGTAGTGGTGGTGTTTCAATACATGTTTGATGATGTTCAACATATTTATTACTTTCATCAATTCGTTGTCCTCTATGTAAATAATCCCAATTAGTATCATGAAATTCTGGATGATAAGGTAATTTTAAATTGTCTTCTGGTGTTGTTAACAAGGAATGATTTCTTCTACTCACTTTATCAATATATTCTTCATGAGGAGAAGGATTGATCGGAATGAACGAGTTCTTATGATCATTATCATGATTTTCATTAGTAAATACATGGAACTTATCATGACAGCTATTGAATGAATCTTGAATTTGATCATATTTTCTTAGACTATCCAATGAAATGTGACTTAAATACTAAGTGTACATTTTACATATATATACATATATGTAGGTGTGACAGGATTGTGCAAATCACAGGCAATTAAAATAGGGATTAATTAAATGTAATTTGAATCAAGCAAAAATTAGCCAGATTGTATATTACACGATTACATAATAATCAGAGAGAGAGAGAGAGAAAACAAAACAGTGAAAAGTCAAAACACAACAATTATAACAACAACGACAACATAAACAGCAACAGCAACAAGCAAATCACCGACACAATAAATTGTATCCACATACATTTAGTTTTATGATTAAATGAATATGTAAGAAGAAAAATTATAAAATAATAGTTAGAATGTATTGTATTACATTGCATTGCATCGTATATATATACAAATAACATGATGGTTAATAATTCATCATTATTTAGTATATCCCTATTCTAATAACTCACCTATACTAATTACCAATTAAATTATTTATTCGTGTTATTAATAGTCAACAAATAAAGATGATCATCTATAGTTGGAATATACCATTTAACTATTTCTATGTATATGTATATAACTCCATCTGGAGCCCCTCTGGTGCTACTGCCGGTCCCAAGCCCGGATAAAGGAGGAGGGTTGGCAAGCCCTTACATGGAGTCTTCAAGGCCGAAGGAAAAGAGAAAGACCAAAGAACATATTACGGCGAGAAATAGAGACAGACATGAGTAAAATGAACAAAAATTAGATAGAACTGGAAAGGAAGTCCCAGGACAGAGTGGGTTGGAGAACGCTGGTCGGCGGCGTAAGTAATTAAATAATGTATATATATATATGTATTACAATAGTACATATCTATTTAACCAACTCATAATATCAAATCATTAGTTCATTAAGTTACATCCAACAGTTTAAACAGAACTTAAAATGAATCATTGTTGACATTGTATATGGACAAACATATATATCACCAAAAGACAAATCAAAAAGATAAGAAACTACATTACAAAAAAAGTTAATTTTATCAAATACTTCAATATATAATTATTCGGACAAATAGGGGGATTTGTGGAGATTGTAATAATTTTAACAACTGAATTCATGAGTTGATCTAATCTTGATCACTATTGAGAACCTGGAAACACTGAACAGATGTTTCATTTCATTATAGGACTATTCAGCAGTATATATTTACGATTTTGTGCATAGAAATTTAACATATAACCTTCAGTTTTGCGCGTGAATGCTTAACCTGTGAAACATTAAGCCAGTATCCAGGTTGTGGTAATGCCTAACTTCAATCGATCCATGATTTTGTGCAACCTTTCATACATTGTCTTAGGTGGATAACTGTCTCTACGCAACATGGATTGAACTCCACTGGTCACAGACTCTCATTAAGATTTCAGGGAATCCATCTTGAAGCTAGTCACTAGTGATTTTTCCTTTTACAATTAAGACATCCAAATTTTGTGAAATTAAGTATTTAATCCAACCAATCCATCCTACGTTTATTAATGTATGGACGACCCGGTAATATAGTCAACGCTTGACAGTCTTATTTCCTTTTTATATGTATATTTTTCTTAATTGAGAGCTGTTCATTGTCATTCAGCATAAAACAATCAGTGACCACTATAAGTTAAAGTGAGCTTTTTGACTATTTCATAACTGTTAGGTCACTCCATGATGATAAATTTTGTGACAGAATCCTAAAACGTCCACTCCAACTTGAATTATTGGGTTAAGATATTGTCTGAAATGATAATCAATGATCTACCATTTGATCTTTCAATTCTGAAAGTGAAACATCACCGAAATATATCTATCTGAAGTCGAAATTTACTTTATCGTTTCAATAGTAGTACAATATATATATATATCATGATATACGAATTGGTATATGATTTTTTTACAGTGATGACCAAGACGTAATATTGATTGGTATCATTTGTTTACGTAAAATCATATTTTAGACAAATATAATATCTGATCAAAAATGGCATTTGGAAGATAAACTGTCACTGTAGATTAATAGACAGTCTATTTTTTAAATCACCCAACAGTTATATATTTTCAGTATGGGGTTATGGAGATTGTTATGTTTTTGATTGAGATCATGGACCGATTGATGTTAGATCACTATTTAAAACCTGGAAGCACTGAACGGTCGTTTCGTTCTACCGTGGAAATCCTCAGCATTGTGCATCCACGATCCCGCTCGTGGGATCCGAACCCAGGGCCTCCAGTCTCGCGCGTGAACGCTTAATCTCTGGACCACTGAGCCGGCCGGTATTTGACTGTGTTGATGTCTAACCTAAACCAATCCACAAAATTACGCTACCGTCTTCCATTGTACTGAGATAGATACATGTCTTTACCCAACATGGGTTAGCTTAAGAACCCCGAGAATCCCCTAACGAAGTTAGTCACTAGTAAGCATATGGTAATTATCACTATGGGGTTGTGGAGATCATTAAGTTATTGACTGAAGTTATGAACCGATTGACGTTAGACCATCATTGAAATTACCCCTATCATTGATAAATATTTTGTCATGCATTAGTCAATAGGATTGAATTGTGTAAAAAAAAAGATGTAAACTAAATTTTATGTATAAATTTTTCATTTTTTAACTAAACTCTAAAACAATCATGCAAATAAAGATGACGACATTAAGCTTTTAGGGAAAACATAAAATATCAGTATTTAACCTCATTGTAGTAAGCAAATAATGAAAAATAAGGATCAAGCATGCTCATAACATATGGGTTATATGTTGTTTAGGTCATTATTAAAACTGTTACTTAGAATGGTATGGTGTTAGTGAAGTTAACGATCCTATTTTTTGCATGCCTACTACAGAGTGCAACATATTTATACATATTGGACAAATTACTAGAAAATCCCTAATTATAAATGCCCTTAATCCTTAATGACTGGGTCTAGTAGATATAGAGTAACCAATTGTACGACACTACAACTAAATGTCTCATAAATTCTATGACATATTTAAACTAGTGAATGTCAGATAAATATCTGGAAACTGTTCAATTATATCGAACAAGACTATCGTAGCAGGACTGATGTTGTTGTTGTTGTGGTAACGATTAGAAATAGATTATTTTTTGCTATAAAGCTATTTCTCGGTAGATATCTTACAACTAGTATATCCAAAAATCAACTCAAACACTCTTAAATTTTTCTTGATTGGACTTAGAAGACCATTTGCCTTATAAAAAACTTTATCTAACAGAATATGATAGGTTAGATTGTTAATTATTAAACCGATCCTTGCATAACCAAGGATGTTTGATACTATGACAGAACATCCTCTGGTTCCGAAATGTTGTAGAAAAATAGCGACAAAAATTGGTAGTCTAGATAATAAGAAGTGTAGTCATCTTGAAGATGAAACGAGAAAGAGGTGCAGTACAGTCATTTGAGTGAAGTTTAGTATCTCTGGTCTTTCATCTGTTTCACGTAATTAGTACTACGCAGCCAAATTGTGCGATTTACATCTGTCATTTTTAGATTTCAAAACAATTTTACTTGTATTCAGTACTGTTTGTCTGATCAATTATTTGTCCAAGCATCATTCTCCACAGATTTTCCGTTTTTTTATAGTTTATCAAGTTGTCCGTACATTTTGTTATAAACTGATCCGACTATTTTCAAAAAACCAATTGTATATCTGGAAATTTCATTATTTATTAAAATAAATTCAATCAAAGCGAAAACTTGAATTGAATAAAAGAGATGATGGTAAATTTTACGGATGTACAATAATTTGATAATCATTGTTTACAGTGAGATTAATTGATAACCTTATTGAAAAAGTAAATTCATTCTGCTCAATTAAACTATTAATCATAGTTGTATTAATCTCTATTGATGACCCACTAACTCTGTGTTTTAGTTCTGAATAGTAGTGATAAGGAGAAAAACTATTGTTTCCATAAATTTTTGCTCAACGATACATTAAACGGACAGGTTGGAGAAAGCAAATAAATAATTTTCTCTACTTACCATATCAGGATAAAGTTGTGGTCGTACAAGAATTAGAAATAATGACCACCAGTAGGCCAGCATACCAGCTACACGACATATTGATCGTCTATTTTTATCAGTATTAAAGAATGTACGAAAAGCAGCTTGACTACATGTTTTGGCCGCGGATGTTTTATGCCAAGGTTTGATTGGACCAGCAAAATGCACAACTCGAACAGATCCGCCAAACTGAACCCAAGCGGATCTACTTGTATAGAATTCAAAACTTGTGTCATCTGATATACGACAAATACAGTTGTATATACAAGGTAGTCTGTGTGATATATCTCCTTCTAACCAGTTGGAAAAATATGTGTTCAGTAAACCCTATTAAAATACCAATAAGAATGAATATTATCATTGAATATTATTTTACTAATAAAATATAATTTAAATAACACTCATACCTAGACATCTGTATTTTTCTTCGGGAATTTATAACATGCAACAATCTGTTAATCGTCAGACATATAAGTATTGACATAACCGTTTCAGTTTTCCATATCATTCGACTTTTTGACCTTGAGTTACACTTCTATCTGTTTAAACTTTTGAAACAATTTTCTCATTAATAGCGTGAAAATAAGGTTATTCACAAGACACTAGATAAACAGGACTGTTCACAAACATATATAAAATGATTAACTAATAAATAATTGGAATTCAGTAGTTATGTTATGTATGGTGCTTATGGGTATTAATCAAACTAGCTCTGTAAAGAACATTCTTATTATTTGAGTTCATAAACCCTAGGAATCGGAATGCTACTTCATATGTGTAGTATTTTGCTGAGATCCGTATTAGAATCTCATTCAACAACATGTATTACTGTATTAAGAAGTCTTAATCAAATAAAATCTTGTGAACTTACTTGTTCTCTTCCATCAAAACTCCCAGAGTCAAACAACATTCGTAGAAGACCGTTGTACGTGTCCATAGAAGGCTCTAATATAAAGACACCAGAATTAAAACAGTCTGGCCACAGAGGATCAGGTGCAGCAGTAAACCCAGATCTGTTGAACAATTCATCAACGTTCTGCAAAACCTAGATTCATTAGAAAACTCACTATTAATCAACCAAAGTGAAACGTTCTGGGAAAATTACTAGTTTTTTATCTGATTTTCTTCTCATTTTAGGCAGAAGCACTTGTGATTCGTTTCATACTATTCTGAAATTATTACTATCGATGGGGCCAACTGTCACCTTTTGAGTAGACACGGCTGTCTGATTCTAATATATCACCTTGGAACGTATATGGTATACATAAGAGACGTTTGATTAGGGGAATACGAACATTAAGACAATTTTTAAAGTTTTACCATGTAAAATACCAGTCAACAAATGTCAAGACATCTCTGTATTAAAGATGAAATATGTCTGATAATTGTATATGGCGTAAAGCAAAATGAAAGTTTGAAAGCCTGATGCCAAACGGGGTACAACTAGAAATTACACATAGTTTTCAGGACCACAAAACTCTTGGCTGGTCTTCTGTAGGTCTTTGGAGGAAGATAAAATTAACTGACCAAATAAATGATTCCTATCTGTTTAACAATATGGACCGTGAGAGGTTTAAACCGAATACGGTTTGCCTGAAAATTTGACGAACAAGTTCTCGCTGACGTTATCAAAATCTGCTGAAAATAGAGATGCACCTAGGTGTATAAGAAGATCGTTTACCAGCTTGGTTCCAGCGAAGATAATAAAAATGCTTAGGTCTGTTTCAATAATTATGAAACACAAGAGGTTCTTTAGATGCTTAAACTCCTGACTAACACACTGTTTTTGCTTTTTTAGGAGAATACACTAAGAAGACAACCCTAGAAAGAGTTAAGCACTACGCTGAAAGAATTCAGGGTCGAATCCTCTATGTCCTAACGAGTGACCAGATACTGGAACTGCTTACTCAGACATGTGACATCATTTTTATCATTAAAAACCTTTAGGACAAAGTCAGTGTTAAACGTAATATAGTATAGGGTTTAATGGAAGTCAGCTGATCTAATATTTTTACTACTGAAACTAAAAAACTTGATGGCGACTTCCGCCTGCAAAAAGCGGAAAATTGATGTATTTAGGAAACAAGTATGGGAAATCTATTTGGCTCGAATGACAAAAAACTTTGAAGCCTTACCAGAGTATCAGCATCCATAAATACAACTTTGGTAAACTGAGTAAGACTCCAAACCTGAATTTTTGTGAATGTTTCAATGAGCTCTGTTCTACCACCAATAACAGGCAGACTCCAGCCTTTGGTTATAACTGGTTGTACTTCGATTACATTATCATAAGTGCTGCAGAGCAGTTGTCTTTAGAGGTCAGTGATATATATGTCACAACTTACCTCATCTGTGATGAGAGACCAGGGGTTACAAGAATGGTAAGCTCTTTAGACGTTTCTGATTGTTTTAGGGATGCTGCTAAAACAAGTGCACCCACACAGTATTCATCATTTGTTGCAAGGGTAACAAACGATTCTCTACCCATTTCTAATCAACTGTAACCGATCACATTGGGATTGTAAATCGGACCTGTCACAGCCACTAGTACAACTAATGTAACAAATTAAAACAAAACTGTATCATGTTATGCAATTGAGGAGTGATTATTATTCAATAGAAAACGAATGCTGCAAACTTAAAACATTAGCTATCGAGATTGAAGTGGATAATGAATACTCTGTAGTTCAATTGTTGTTTAGTAATTCTGTTTGTGTTAATGCAGAATCATTGATCAGTGAACATCTTCTTAAGTTACTAAGACACTTTTTTTACACAAAATCTGCCGTATATTCAGCCAGGCTATTTTTCTAACTTGGCTCTATCAACCACTCAGTCTACACAGTGGATGCCAAGAGTTTCATATCTGATATGAGTAGCTATGTCACACTGATTTAGGAACTTTCTCATACGAATATCTTATCAAAAATATCACAGGTTGACACTCTTCCGTTTTGTCCTAGACCCATTTGAAACCTCACGCGAATATCACTCACCCCTTTTCATCTGACTTCCACTAAATAATTCACATAAGAATCAATCGAGGATACACTAAGAAACACTTAACAGTGCTTGAATAGTGAAGCATTCCTTCGGTGGTTTGGTCAACAAAAAGGTAATCCGCATAGCAGATGCGTCTCCAGAGGATACATGCAGCCCTAAACCCTGATAGAAAGTCTAAGAATTTTATTCCGAAACGAATTTGTAAAGAAAAATAATGGTATTCCGAAACCTGAAAAGAGGCTTTAATTGTGATATGGGTGGTCAAAAAGCTAACATATTCTGAGATCCACTGTCCCCACCCCATTACTACAGCCGTGAGTTCGGATTTAGAATAAAGCGGTTGGAATTTTCCCCCAGAGACAACGGAATTTCCAGGGGAATATTACATGGAGAAGTACTATCACGATATTCGTATCTCGAAAGGCAGGTTAATCAAGATAACTCTATATCAGTTTATATATTGCCTTCTGGTACAATGCGATTTGCAAATCCACACTTTAGTACTTTCAAAGCTTTATAAGTAGGATGAAAAGACGTTGAAATTTTCAGTGCAATAATAGGTCCCCATGTGTTTACAGAAAGAGAAGGGAAGTATCCCTAAATCTTACATATATTAAGTGGAAATGTGTCAGTTTCGTTTCCAAAGCCTAACGAAGAATAACTTACTCGTCTGGTGTCTGACTTTTATCCTGTACGTCTTACGAAGGCAACCACTTAATCAATATTCAAAGATACCATATAGATGTATAAACCTTACTAGCTTGTTATCTTATCTCAGCAGCACTTACTGTGGCGTGTGCTACCTATATTGATATAAGTAGTACATGATATTAGTCGTGAACAGAAGGCCTGGCAGCAGAGAGACAAGGGGATCGAACAGTAAAGAATAGAAACAGGATTCAATTTGTATTAAAGTGCAAGAACAATGAAGTCTGAGTCATTTTGAAACAGTTGGTGGACATTTTGCAAATTAAGCATTTACTTTATGGTTGTTAGATTTTATTAACAAGTCCTGTGATTTTATGTCAAATACATTCGATTGTTCCCACCCGTGTTCTGCTCACTACATTACCATCTCTACACGAATAACCGAACATAGTTTGATGCAGGTTCCCTCAACATGGAAATCAGAGCTAGTAAGAAAATGAAACATAAAAAAACGAGAAAACATGTGCGGAAGAGCATCAAGCGTGTCACCCTACATCATTTTGGCTAAGTATAACTTCCCATGCTCTATCCGGCTGTGAAATGTTTACGTACCTGATTCGCGAGTCGTCGCCAAGTCGAAAACAAGGAAACATTTACCTAAAAAGCAAGCAAAATCGGTAAAATCTGAAGAACTGAACACTGTTTGCATAAAACAATCAAATACGAAGTGGAAGTGTACGATCATAAAGGAAGTATGTTAGCTTCTTAATACATTTTTGGTCTTTAAAACATACTGATCATCTACAAAAAAGAACTTACTTCACTGCGCCGGTTAACCGTCGTCGAGGAAAGTAAGAAGCTCACCAACACTCTCCATCCAAATCTGTCGTAGACAAAACTCGTCAGTTGCTATTCATCTCTTTCATATCTGCTTCCGATTGCCGACACAGTGTATTCTTTGGCCTTCTTTTCTATTTCCTCGCACGATTCCAAGTTAGCGCTTGCCCTGTTATCCAGTCTGGTGGTTGCCATAATGTATGCGCTATCCACCTCCAACGTCGTTTCCTAATTCCCTATTCAGTTGGAAGTTGGTTTATTCTCTCACAGTAGGCTGTCGCTGATGTTATCCGTCCAAAAGATATTTAGTATTTTCCGTTAACGATTGTTTATAAATAATTTTGCCTTTTTAATGATGGTTGTGGTAGTTCTCCAAGTTTTAGCCTCATACAGTAGACGTTCGTATTAAAGATTTTGAATTCGATATTGGTTGATAGTTGTTTGAGTTCCATATGCTCTTCAATTGTAGGAATGCTGCTCTTGCCTTGCCAATCCTTGCCTTCACATCTGCATCGGGTCCTCCCTGTTTATCGATGATGCTACTCAGATACGTTAATGTTTACGCTACTTCCAGAGCTTCTCCATCAAGTGTGATTGGGTCGATGTTTGCCGTGTCGTATTTGAGTATCCCACTTTCTCCCTTGTGTTTGTTGAGGCCTACTGATGCAGAGACTGCTGCTACACTAGTAGTCTTGATCTGCATTTATTGATGTGCATGGGGTATAAAGGCCAGGTTATCTGCCAAGTCCAGATCGTCTAGTCGCATCCAAGTTGTCCATTGTATCCTGTGTTTCCCCTCAAATGTGGGGGTTTTCATAATCCATCGACCACCATAAGAAACAAAAAGGAGCAATGTAAGTAGCCTTGTCTGACTCCAGTCCTCACTCGGAATGTGCTTGTTGATATTCTTCGGTGCATTTCTTTGCAATGTGGTCCGTCATATGAATTTCGTACGATGTTGACGATTTTCCCAGGTACACTGAATGTATATACATCATGCAAGTGTATGAATTTAAACACAAATTTACCCAAAAGTATAATATCAAGATGTATTTCACAGAATACAGACTCATCACCTAACACAACTTAAGTGTGCAATGACTGCCTTAAAATCGCAAGGTTAGATTTAAGAAAGTTATGTGAGTAAATGTGGCCTGATTTGAATATGGCATATCAAGAATATGTCGCAGTTTTAGTAAGGGTATCTAGAAATATGGAGAATTGACATAGGACAGTTGTAAATAAAATGACGTGGAGACTTATTCTTTGCGCATTTAAAGGAAGAACATGTTTCCAAACGAGATGTGCCACTTTTTGGATATGAGGTATTTTTATCTCAAGTCAGCATTTTCCGCATCGACTCAGTATGAATTTCGCTCAGTGTGATAGGCGTAAAAGTCTGTTCAGCATGACGAACGAAGAGTTTTGTTATGTAATAATGTAGTGTGTGCAGCTAATGTCAACAGATGTAAGTAGTATGTACGGCGGCAGAAGGTTAAGAAGATAGAGGAAAAGAGAACGAGAAAAGAGAATGATTGGTGTAGGAACGAAAGAACAATGTAGTCTGAGACCATTGACTGACATTTTTTTCAAATGAAGTATTTGCTGTTTGGTACTCAGATCTTAACAAGATGTTCTGTAGTTTTGTACTAAAGTACATTCGATTGTCCCCACTTTGTTCTTGTTCATTACAGTTCTATTGCTTTGGATGTCTGGGTGATTATATGATGTCCCGAGCCTATTATTAGTGGAAAATTATATGTAGATTTAATGACCCTAAGTAACACATCCGGATATCGAATGCAAAATTCTTTTATTTAACAGTGAAGTGATTTGAACTCAGTGTTGAGCGTTATTTTACAAGCATATATGTAACCTCTGTGTCGAAATGTTTATGTTAGGAGGGAGACTTAAGGATGAAGTCCTTATTTAGGAAGTTTATTGATACATTTATTATTCTGAATGCAAGGGTGGCATTAAGCTCTTAGTAGATGGTTAGACTTTTAGCATCAATCTGTGGAGTTCGATTGTCTTTGTACGCCTATTGTGTTTTAACGGAGCATTAGTAAATCCTCACTTTATTTTCATGTTGAAATCTCCCTCGGCCACCTAGTACGTGAAAACTTGGAGGTTCGTTCAACGGAATCTTCAGGGGGTTTATGAAACTGAGTATTAGAATTGGGTAGTCTATATTGGCAACTCATAAATAGTTCGAAATAAGCCGGCTCATTGGATATCATTGGTTACCCAGGCAGTACAATATTTATTTAATCATGAGAAGAGACTTGGAGGGTGCATTTTTCGTAAATGACCCGGCTAACACATCCACTAGACTACCTATTTTTTCTTAACCGTCAGTATCCTTAGAAAGAGATTGGTTCATTTACTGTCAGGAAGGCACCAAACCTCTGTTATAAGAAGAGCCGGTAGGTTAAATCTGGTCAATGTGTAACATATTTACTGCAGTTTACTGACGATGGAAAGAAAATTTGAAAGGGTAAGGTAAATTGGTGAGCTGTAGCGCGTGTGTCTTTACAGGTCTTGAGTCAACGCTTGGTGTTAACTTGATGATTTAACGATGATAATATATTTTTGCATGAGCAGTTACACGCCATTTTTACAGGCATGATCTACAAATTACAACATTTGTTGCCTCACAGCATGCTTCCCAACTTATTAAGTTTATAGTTGTTATAAAGTAGACTCATTGCTTAACATTTCGTAGTAGAACAGACAGAGGTATAATAAATTAGATTAAATTCATATTATCTCTTGTTAGATTGAAATGAAGTCAGAGGCTCCATATAAGAGGATTTAGTAATAAAGGACAATGAGTTGTGATGCTTAGCAAAGTGGAGTAAGCCTACATGAAGGAAGAGAAGTCAAGGTTGGTACAAAGAAAGCTGTTTGTTACAACTGAGTGTGCATATAGAGGGTGAAGTATTAAAAATACTAATAACTATATCTTTTATTGTCTAATTTTTTCTTTCTTTTGTCTACCTGATGCCAGCCACACAATCCTAGTGTAAATATCCGAGTTAGCATGTTATAGGTTGTCTTAGAAGAATAGCTAATCCAC